GGAAGAACCTGTTGAAGGCACTCCATGTAAATATAGTAATCTCTACAAACAATGTTGGGATTCTGAACCTGCTAATCGCCCAGAGACGAAATTAATTCTTGAAACTTTAAATCAACTTATTTCTGATGAAACTTCAAGTAACTTTATTTCTGACAATGTTTCAAATAATCTTATTTCTGAAGAGATGAAAAATGCTTCAATTTGGAATTTTTCATGCAAATATCTTGATTCCGAAAAAATAAACGAGTTAGTAAGTGCACTTTACAAGAATACCAATCTGACTTCTCTGAATCTTGGTTGGAATATAATTGGAACTGAAGGTGGAGAAGCGTTAGCAGATGCCCTTTGCAAGAACACCACAATAACTTCTTTGAATTTTAAAAACAACCGACTTGGTTTTGAAGGAATGAATGTATTAGCAAAGGTCCTTTGCAAGAACACTGCCCTGACTTCTTTGAATCTTAGAGAAAATAATCTTGGCTTTGAAGGTGGAAAAGTATTAGCAGAAGCACTTTATAAGAACACAGCTCTGACTTCTCTGAATCTTGGAAAGAATAATCTTGGATCTGAAGGAGGAAAAATATTAGCAAAGGCTCTTCTTAAAAATACTTACTTGACTTCTTTGGATCTTAGATTAAATGAACTTGGTTTTGAGGGAGGAAAAGCATTAGCTGAGGCTCTCTGCGAGAACACCGTTCTGACTTCTTTGAATCTTAGAGAAAATAATCTTGGTTCTGAAGGTGGAAAAGCATTAGCAAAGGCACTTTGCAAGAACAGAACCCTGACCTCTTTAGATCTTAGAGCAAACAAGATTGGTCCTGAAGGTGGAAAGGCATTGGCGGAGGCTCTTTGCAAAAACACCACTTTGACTTCTTTAGATCTAGAATGTAATCAACTTGGCTTTGAAGGGGGAAAGTTATTTGCAAACGTCCTTTGTATAAATACTACTCTAACTTTTTTGAATATTAGATGGAACGATCTTGGGTCTGAAGTAGGAAAAGAACTAGCAAATGCCCTTTATGAAAACACTACTTTGACATTTTTAGATCTCGAAAATAATTATTTTGATTTTGAAACACAAAAATTATTAAAAGACACTTTAGTGAATCACAACGTTAAATTTTGATCTATATACAAAGATTTATGTAATTAATTATGTATTATATAGATAAATAACTAAATATTTTTACTGTTCTGTACAGAAATATAAACCTTTTATTCCGTTTAATTGTAATTTTTTGTTTTTAGAACATTATAAATTTTTAAATTTTATTTAATATATGTTTTAGAATATTATTAACTATATCCTATAATAATAATCACCTAGGGTACTATTTCAAAATATATACTAAGAAACACGATTTAGGTATACTAAGTGTTCAGAATCTTTAAAACCCTACATAACTTAAATTCTGACTATTATATCTAATTCTTATTTGATCTCAATCTGCATCTCAACTCTTGGTAATAATCATCATAGGTGTTTTTTTATTTTTATATTAAAAATAAAAATATTCTGAGAAAAACATTAGATATAATAATTTCTGTTTATATAATTATATTTTTATAGTTATATTTTTTGTATATGATTTTATTTATAATAAAAGAATATATTTAATAAATTTTTTAATTTTAATTAAACTAAGAATGAGTAAACTAGTATCCTCTTGGTGGGTTTGTATTTTAGGTCAAGTTTTCTTGTTTTTAACAAACTTCTTAATATGTTTAGTAATTAAACTGAAAGAATATTTGAGAAAGCAATAGAAATAAAGACTCTAGCTAGAAGTAATGAAAAAATTTTCTTATATAACTGTAAAACTTACAAAAAGAACTTCATATAACTCTTATTAATTATCCATTTTTTAAAGAAAATTTTGTAAAAAGCAGGTAATTTAGATTACCTTTTCCAAAAGATTGATATATAAATTTGCTAAGTTGATAGTGTTTACTTTCTTAAATAAATTGTTTATATTGTAGATTAGAACCTATACAATTAATAAACAAACATGTAGAGTACATATGTTGAATGATTAAAAAATTGTTAAACATTACTTTAAGATTAATTTCAACCTCTCTATAATATTAGACAAAACTTTTCTATATGCTTTTATAATTAAACAATCTAGTAAATAGAGATAGTAATAGAAATTTATTTTAATTTAAAAATCTTGTTTTATTTATTTAAATTATGTAATATTATATTTTAATGTAATAGTACTTGTAGGTGCTTATAGAAGTAACTGTAAGATGCTGTGCTTGTAAACATTAAGTTAAAATGTTTTTCATTAGAACAAGAATCTTAATAAAACGTTATCAGGCAAGACTACTTAAGTGAAAAAATATTATTATTATACTGATTGCCAGTTAATAAACCTGGATAATGAAACTGCCCACATGTGCAATGTCTAGTTTAATTTATAAGATTGTATAGTTTTTATCAAAAGTCTGCTAAGAAGGAAAATTCTGATAGAGCGTTTTAAGTTGAAACTTTTGAGAAGATGGAAATTGTGTGAAAAAGGATAAATATAAAGTATTTGTTAATTACTAAAATTCTGTTAACGTGGTGACGCATGCAATTGAAACATATAAAGTTGGTTTTTGTTTCAACATGAAATTAGAGTTAATGTCAAAAGTCTACTGAAATGGATATTAGAAGAGTATATAATATTAATTATTGTTATCAAAAGAATTGGGATAGAAAAGGACGAATAAAATACATTTAATTATTACAGAAATGGGATATGCTACTAGAATAATTACAATTTCTAATTATTACCAAGAGAGTGTTATAGTTCATTTATTACCAAAGATCTGCTAAGATAGAAGAATCTGGTGATACTATTTAAGGTTGGTAGTTACGAATATGGAATTGGTGTTGAATTCTAATTAATGAATAAATTTTGTTATTGCTATCGGAATAGAATTGAAAAAACAAGAGATTTGCAAAGAGCTAAATATTGTATCAAATGTAAATAAATCATCATTTACCTTCATATTGTCTTGTTTGATAAAATAATATATTATTTAACCTCTCAAACCCAGTATTGAGAGATTATCAAATTTAAAACATTAATAAACTATTAGAATTATATTGCTGAAACAAACTTATTCATTTTATTAGATTTGATAGGCTATCAGTTTTGATAGGACCAGTTTTTAGGGTTCAACAATATTTAATTAGGAAAAGAAACAATAAAGTATCGGGTAATTTATATTACACTTTATACTATAACTAAACCCAAAGGTCAAAAATATAAATTAATTAGGCTATGTGGTCATTCCAAGTCATTTGCCAACCCTGTTAAATGTAACTTGTATAGACTAGATACTTAGCTATATGCAATATGAAATTTTGCATTTATGAAAATTAAGTGTATACTTAAACTAGAGTTTTATTTTTTAAGCTTGCATTTAGGAATTCTACGTTATCATCTACTAATATATCTAGAATTTTTTTTGTATTACTCTAATAACCACAACGTAACTTTTCAATGATAACAATCACTTGTTACAAATGAACTCTACGCATTAGACTAATGAAAATTTATTGTATGTATGTACATACGTTGTAATTATCATGTGGATGTAAATATTAAGTTAGTATCACAGATTCAATGGTGATAATTAACAAAAGATAGATTTAGGGTGTTCTCAAGTATATTTCACAACAAAATTTGCTAGTGATTGAGAATGTGCACAAGCATTGATTAATCAAATAATTTTTATAGCAATTTGACTGAAGATTTATAGTGCGAAATATAGATATTAAATCTTAGCTGATTGCCGCAACTCTATGATAAAAAAGATGTTCCGGACCATCTTTCGTTTTTTATTGCGATGATGAACTCACTTGACCGGTTGAACCTATTTTTTACTAGCTCCGACCTATCTTTAGATAAGTATGTATATGGGTTTTATGGATAATACTACGGTTGGCGAGAAAAATATTATTTTATTCTTCAGGTTAAGTAATTTATATTATTATTGAAATCGAATGGACTTTATACAATGCTACCAGAAAATATATCAAGTCTAGGTTTTATTATAATAAGAAGAATTACAAGGAACTTAGATTTCTTAATGCGCAGTAACCGCATAGTAACTATTTAGTTACTATTAAACTTAATCGTAACTATAAAGTTGCTACATATTATGATGTTTAGGTTTCTGTATAAACAATAGCAAACAAACTATGACTATCATTATTTAAGTATATAATCAGCAAGGACATAAAAGGAGTTGTTTTCTAAAGTATATTCGACAATTCGACTTTGCTTTCTTACAGTACCAGGAAAGTATCATTTATATTGTTTTTCTCTATTTTATTAGTTAAAACTCTCCTCTAAAGTTATTAACTCTTTTCACTAGTGCTGGCCATTTTTATGCCATATCACTGTAAGTCATAACAAGTCATAAGGTCATAACCTATAATTAGTCAATAGGTCATAACAGATCATAGGTCAACACAACAGTTCGTAACCAATGAAAAATTCAATTTTCAGCCGAGACAACTTCCCCTGCAAAACATTTACCAAAAGTAATTAAAAAATTTTCCAAATCGAGCACAACAAAGTATTTGTAGCAAATATTTATAATATCTTATTATTTAGGTAATATTTTATTATTGACAAAATTTCACTAAACTTTTGTGAACATCGTTCGATAGGGCATTAAGATCAAATGATAGCAAACAACTATTTTTGACTAAATATTTGACACAGTGATCACAAGCACAAATACATATTGCTAGCATTTACCTATTACTAATCAGAATACCAAGTTTAAATAGATACTCCGATTAATTATGCTATACACATATACATACTTGGACTATAAAATACATCAACATTAATTTAGTATTCTATACATTCTTCTTCAATAGACTTTACCCTATGAACAGGAATTGTTAATTAATTAAGATTCTTAGTACTATAAATTAGTCGCAAGCAATAGCTCTTAAAAATTAGTAAGGACGTAACCTTTATACATAGAGAATAAATATGACACCCTTAACATTATATGGATTTGTAGTTGAAAGAATCCGTACTAATAAGATAGCGTTAATAAAGTATGAAGAATTAAAACCGACAGATTGTGATGATTCCACTGTAATGACGTTATGCGGTAAACGAGTAAAAATAAAAAAGCTAAAATATACTAGTAAATGCGATGATAATGACATTAAAGGATTCGAGGTTAGTATATTTTTGCGCCACACGATTAAGTAACTGATTATTAGTGTTATTGTTATAATTTACTCGTGCCTTTTTAATTATCTGCACGATTTGAGTTTCTCCTATTCTCTAAATATATTTATGATATTTAATATAGCTAAATCTTAAGCAATTTAAACACTCAAATGTGCTTAAAGTATTTGGCCTTACACATGGTCAGTCCATGTTATTTAATAACTGCGATTTAATAATTATTATGCTAATATATTTTTAATAAACGCAATAGATGAAAATAATAATTGTTATTATCTTGTTCGTGAATACGCTAACAACGGTGATTTACGCCATTATCTTAGGCAAAAGTCTTCATCGAATGATCCACTAGATTGGAATAAAAAATTAGACTTGATACGTCAAGTGGTAAATGGCTTGAAGTACCTTCATGATGTATCTGTTGTTCATACAGAATTGGTAATTTGTGAACCTTTTGATATACCTTGCTTTTTATATCGTGATATTTTTAATTACTTTTATTTGGATTTTTAGCATCCATGTAATATCTTCGTGCATGATGGAGTGCCAAAATTAGCAAACATTGGAATGTCTAAAATCCGTACCCATTGTAACCTTTCTTTTACCCAATACACCCCTCCTGAAGTATTGCAAAAAAAAGATATACTAAATAATATAAAGCTAAATATTTACAGTTTAGGAGTTTTAATATGGGAGATATGTAATGATGGTGTAGAACCTTTTCGTGAAAATTATAATATTTCTTTAGCAATTGAAATAATTAATGGTGTTCGCGAATCACCTAAAAATGGAACGCCATATGAGTTCATTCACCTTTATGAAAAATGTTGGGATAGAAACCCCAGTACGTATGCTATAATTTTATAGACAATCTAATACACTAATTTACATCGATAAATTCTAATTAACATAATTAAATATAGATATAAGACCTAATTGCTCAGAAATTCTTAAAGAACTAGAAATTATCGCCAAACATGAAAAAGTCAATGGATACGATGGTCATGAAACTACAAGATTCGAATCGATTATCGACCACAATAATTGTGAGCAAGATATTAAAGGTCTAGAAAGAGAAAAAATGTTGCAAGTAGGAGTTATTGAAGGATTGGATTTAAACAAAGGAAGAAACCTAGTTGAAAATGATTTTATTCTTGGGACAAAAACAATACTTAGTGATCTTGGAGATTTAGACATATCTATTTTAAAGGATAAAGATCCAGATATTTTTATCTTTAACGATATCGCAAAATTGTACGTCCCAACTGCATTAGTGCAATATAATGTCGATGATGGTGATGTGAATGAGCAATTTATTCTAGATGTCAAAGATTCACTTGATAGCTCAGATGACAATGTGAAAAAAGAAAGATTAAATAAGGCGCTTAATCAATGGGGTAGATTTGTAATTTCCGAGGTCATTATGGGAGGTGCCATAATGATAAAAAATTGGTCAAAAATTAGTGATATAAATAAATCACGTTTAATGGCATATATTCAATGGGGAATAGATTATTCAAAAGGTGAAAAATCTCCAATATTTACTAATGTCTCACTTAACGACTTTTCACAATTAGAAACCTCGAAAAAAGTTCTTAAGACTGCTGGTGACTTGTATGATTGGTTAAAAAATATATATGACTGTCAAAATCTAGAAATTATTTCTTATGAAAAATTTATACCATCATATCATTTACTGCCAAATAATTTAATAAGGCAATGTTCTGCTATCGAACCTACAAATGGACCTTCCCTAAGAATAATTCCACAAATATCACAAACTCAATATGAACAAAAAAAGTTTTCAGAATGGATAAAGTTACAAACCAATTCATTATTGCATAATTGGGTTCATGAATTATCTCTGGAACATGGTATACTCTTAAAATATCCGCATTTAGTACATAGCGAGAATGTTTGTCTTAAATTTTCTAAAGAACCTACAGTAACAACAATGGAAAAGGTTATTGTTTTATTAGCACAACCTCGAACTAGACAAGAAGCTTATTTACTAATTAATGGTATAAAAGAAAGTGTCAATTTAAAGTTTGAAAATATTCCTTTTCTCGATTATAATTCAGTACATTCAAAAGAACCTTCTAAAAAAATTTATTGCCAGATTATTGTTAAATTGGCAAGGATTTCTTTTAAGTCAGCAAACATTGAACCTATCGAACAAATTTCAGATATGGTGGATCTTTCCCTTAAAAGTTACGAACCATATAAAAATCTCGGTGAATTATTTAGTAATAACTATGGACATTTAGTTCCTAAAACTATAGTTCTGGGTGGAAAGCTATCAATTGAGTACGATATTACTGAAAATACTGTTGAAACACTGCGTTATGAGTTCGACAGTTTTGATGCATCAAAAATTAGAAACATATTATCAAAATGGGATGAAAAACATAAACATGTCAACACAAAATTTTTAATGAGCCATGAAGAAATTATTAACCGCGACCATATTGAAAGCTGGTGGAAGAATCTTACTGATAATCCTAAAAATTGGACGATTGTATCATATGAAGATTGGATCCCGATGTATAAAATTTTAAAACAAACGCAGAGTGATAATATTGAAGAAATTTTATGTAACAATTATCGTATTGTTTTTAGTGGGAAAGAATCAATACAACGGAATGATCAAATTTCTGTAAATATTAAATTTCCTGGTTCTATAGATGATAACTATCAAATTTATGGAAGTGCTGCTAAGAAGAATTTATATGGAAATTGGGAAAATATTTCTGATGTGGCTGTTAGATTTAATTATGCTAATGAACATGGCTGTGTTGCAACCTTGCACAAAAGCAGAGAGATAAGGTATTACCCTCATTCTGTAATTATTTTTCATGATTTAACCTTTATTAACTTTTAATATCTTTTAAAAGGCTAAATTGTAATACATTAAAGATTTTTTGGTTTGTGGTTTCTAAACAAAGAGGTTATTATACTAGTGAATATCGAAATATTCAAATTGCTTATGGAAAACAAAATATCAATAATTTTCAAACTGAAATATCATTGAAATGTAATAACCTTAGTATGGAATGCATTTTAGTAACCTCGTTTATTTCTCAATCCTTGAAAGATACGTCGCTTTATAAAACACACCTTAAATCATGGACGACAAAAGAGGTTGATTTGGGAATTATAAAAAATCAAAATAATGCTAGGACATGGAAAGCGTCTGATCTATATCCTCAAGGAATAATGATTCAATGGTGTATTATTTATACCAACAGAGATAAATTGGTGGATAGCAATGAATTATTTCCATGGAATGTATTCGGAATCGCCCTTGATGAAGAATTAAAAATCGATTAAGAAATGACGTTTATTCACAGATAATGTTTGAGGAAGCAACACATTATACCAAATTGGAGAGCATATTATATGCATGAGGATCATTAGATAGTACAAAGAGAAATGGTACATAGAAGCTTTGGTTCAAGAATATATCTCAAAATGATACTTTTGAGAGAACCTTTAGTAATTTGTTAGCAACCACAAAATTTTATAAAAGTGCTGCTGATTGTTGGCATTCTTAAGCACAGTTAGCATACCATTAGCGATTGTATATTTTGAAAAATATGCGAATACTACCACAATATATAATTTATTGCTAACTATTATGCTGTATAACGATAAAAATAAAAGAAATTGCTGATTGTTAGCGTGGCCAAATTATTATGGCATAATGTAATTGATTAACATACAAAAAAAAATTAGTCTTAGTTCAAAATTTTCACTTTTTATTCATCCCAACGGATATTAAAGTAGCTAGAAATAATGATTATACGCAATTTTATTTCTTATTATGTAATATATTTTAAACATAATACGGGTGATCAATAAATGTCCTGATGCCGAAATTCGGACTTATTTTGATATGAATTTTTTAAAAGTTTTTCGGGTGTTTTTTCCCCGCTTTTTTTTAGTTGAGTTAGTGATTAGGGTTAGTGTTGATAATTAAAGAATATATGTGGATTTTAGCAAGCTTATATTTGTAAATAGAGACTCCAAAACTCAACTTCAACCGTTTTTAACATCAGCTGTGACAATAAATTTTTTAAAATAATTGCAACTATAGCCGTTAGAAGAAATTTAGGGGTTTGACGTTTGCAAAGTCAAAACCCACTCTAGCTATAAGGTTCCGTATCACTTCACCGATAGACATAACATTTTACAGAAAAAAATTCACCATGTTTTATTTCACCGACACTTATTTCCCGACAAGTTCATTTCTGCATTTCACCGAAAGCTTATTTAACCAAAACTCATTTCACAAACAGTTTTTTTTTTTTATAAATTACACTAACATTAACTCTAATTCCAACCTGACCCTAATGACATTGAGTAAAATTATTTTGTCGATGAAATGAGTTTCGGTGAAATAAAACATATCGCAAATTTAAGGATGATAAAAATCGCTTTTTAATGCTTTTTATGTTTTTTAACTTGATTCAATAAACCGTTTTAAAACGTAGCATTGATGGATGAAGAAAAATTACTGTAAATAATTGGTTAATTTCAACTTCAGTGTCGGCATGAATTTAATCGAAATATGCCATCAGTTTGTGTTACAAAAGTCAAAAATTCAGAAGATTCGAATTTATAATCATTATCATAACCATATCATTATTATTTTAAATCATTTGCCATCCTTAGGGTAAATTGTTTTCGGTGAAATGGCACTCAGAAAATGTGTACCGGGTTTGTGACGCAGACAAATTTCTTAAAATTTACAAGATTAATGTTAGGATCAGGGTTAGGAGCTAGATAAAAGTAGATGTGATAGTAAAATTGTTCAACGAAAACTTTTTGTTAGAGCACAAAATGTGGTTTCTTATGCTGATTTTTGAGTTATGAGCGATTTTTGGCAAAGCGACCGTATGTTTTGGTTGTGTTATATTACACCTAATCTTGAAATCTGATTCGTAGTTCAAGAGCAAACCCGGTACACATTTCCCGAGTGCGGTGAAATGTTATGCCTACGAAATATGGATGGGCAAAGTAATTTTATAAGTAATTATTCCATTTTATTACTTATTACGTATACATATGAACGGTCAGAATTAAGTAATTAAAACTGAGATTGAACGAAAAATTTCTGCTAGAAATAGAATGATCGTAAAAATTACTTATTATTGACTATTGCCAAAAATCTTGATAATATTAAGACTGTACTTTCATCTAATTTATTTTTCCTTTTCTTTTAACTTATATGAATAAAATATTGGTTGCCTAGAATTATAACTTGCGTTATCCGACATCTCCTATGTGCGTACTGGACGTTTTTTTGTTTGTATTATTCGATCACTTTCTAATCATGTGATAACTCAGTCTTATCATTTTTCTGATTTTATTTCTTTTTGAGTAGGAGTTGTGAAACTCGTATAAAACTCATATTAGTGAAAATTAAGAAAAAAAATTTAGCGAAGAAAAAAAGCAAACGAAGTAAAAAGAAAAAATGGTGAATGGATATGAAAAAGTAAGCGAAATTAAAGAGTTAAATGAATAGAAAGATCGAATAATGCATACCGAAAACGACAGTGCTTACGTCAGACATCACGGATAAAAATGTCATCAGTTAAGTTGAAGCCGATAAATTTAATTATCGTCTGACCAATAACAAGTACCTATGTTTTTATATCAAGTTAATATATTCTTAATTATATCGTAATTTTTTATTAGTGCCTTACTATATATTAAAAACCTTATGTTTTTTCTAAGATCTAATTTTCGTACAGACTATATACATGAAACATACTGGAATGTATTCAAACGAAAGCTTAATATTGTAGTACTGTTCTGAATACTATCTATCTATAGCTATGAATTAAAAAAAATCTCGCTTTATATGTGAATCACGCCCCAAGCTAAAGTTCATCGTTGCGAATAAAAAACTTATCGAATCAGCCAAACAATTGACGGTTGATTTTTGATTAGATGACCTGAATTTATGGAAACAGTTGTAATTATACAAAAAACAATCGACTATATAATAAGTAGCTGTGCAACGTTGTCGCGCGAAACCAGGAACGGGAGAAATCTACACAGACACCATTTCAGTTACGGGAAACCATATTCTTCATTACAATCCATTCCTGGTATAAGAAAATGACTCTTTATAAAAGAAGTTGATAGTACTTGCAATCTGAATATTGGTTTGAA